AAAGTGGTGGGAATCCATGTTTTTTCTAAACTATAGAACACATAGATTGGTGGGCTTGGAAGAATATTGTGTTGAATCCAAGTCAAGGTACCAAAAGTTGGTGGCTTATGGGTGTAACATCTCAGCCCAATTTTCTGACCACTGTGGAAGGAATCTTGAGAGAGCTGACTGATTTTATTTGCTTGAAATTAAAAGTGCCCAAAAAGGTGCTTTGAGCAATGGAAGAAGCACGTTTGGTTCCTCAGAGAACCTTTCAATGTATGGTTTTGTAAATTAGATATATGAATGTAAAGAACTTTTTAAAAGTTTAACAATGTAAAGTTTTTAGGAATAACCCTTAAATTGGAAAAGAACCTGTAAGAGGTTGCATATTGCCCCTTGCAACAACATTTCTGATTTTGGAGTGGCCACTTGCTTTTGAGATTTTTTTTTCTCTTTTAATACACTGGTTTGGTCAGACATGCAACTGATCTGACGATTCATTCACTATGACCACCACGATAGGTAAGATAGAGAGCATAGTGGACCCCCTGTGAGCTGGTACACCCGACAACATAGATGCTGTTCCATTGGCTTAAGTTTGCTAATATCAATCTATGAAATTTGATCTCAAGTAAATTTGGATGTTGAAGAAGATGGTGTTATACTGAGAGGCTATCACTGCGGTAGCTAAGCAGTACCTGATGAAATAACTTGGACTGGATGACATCAGGTCAGACTAGCACAGCAAGGGGGACCACCATGGTCACCACAACATTGGGCCTCTTTCACCAACCATTCTTAGTAAATTTCCTCTTTAAATCACAAAAATTCTGACATTCACCAATGTTTACTTATTTGGGATTTGTTCCTAGGTAAGAACAGAATCTACACACATTCAAGAGCGAACACGAACAATTCTGCAGTTTCATAACATCATGAATCCGACATAGACTTTTATTTTAGGACCTTTGTCAAGAACAAATTTAAGAAAAAACGTAGGAAGATATTGGTGAATGAGGTCCAATGTTCTTATTAGAGTAAAGTTTTTAATAAATATTCCCTTTTTCAATAAAACACCTCACTGGTATTTGGTTCATTGTAAATACATTGTATGTACAAAAAGCATGTTTCTATTATTCGGGCCACAAATTCGTAATTTTGGCCTCAAGATTCATTGACGTGGTGGCCTACAGGCATTTTCAAATTATGTCAAAAACTGAAAAATGACAACAGTGGAGATATGAGGTTTTTTTCCGACAACAGCATTATAAAGCATCATGGTTCCTCTACAGCAACACTTAAAAAAACAGGTAAATGAAAAACTTTTAACTGGTGTAGAATCTTTACATTAACTGGAGGTTTTCTAACCTAAAGCTTCTTCACACTCACATATTTGCTACTGCTATGAAGAACTCTTTTTGGCACCTTCATTTTTAAAAGAGTTGGGTTCTTCAGGGCTGCATGAACATGAAGGCTCTGTCACATCTCGAGTTGAAACCAGCTTGGAGTTTTCCTTCTCCTATTGTACCAAACTGGTTTTGTGTTAAGGTGCAGGTCAAAAGACAGTGTAACGCCTACAAAGTCTTTCAGGAGAGCACCAAACTAGGGTTCTTCATTATGCCCCATTTTACCTTCACACAAGAACTGCATGAATTATTTAGTCCATTTCTTCCCTCACATCTGAGAACATTGTGCCTGGCGCCAAGTGTCCTCCCTTACCCCCTCCACCCTGCTCTGAAGTGGGAACAGAGATACAGCATCCCTGCCACCCAGTTTTGTGTTGAACATGAACTTTTCACTGGGTTACAGTGCTTCTTTTTTATTGTTGTTGTTTTTCCATGAATCCTAACCATCAAAAAAAAGGGAATGTTTCAGCATCACGTAGTCCAGCCTTCGGTAGTTCATCTAAGGTTGAAAATATAGCATTTGCAAGTAACTAGAAAGGTGAGAACCCCAAATCTACTCAGTGCCTCTTAATCCTGTGATCCGCTGAGTCCATCACATCTTCAACCTGCCTGGACCCACTGCATAATCACTGCTAATAAATGGCTCGCATCGCTGCGCCACAGTGCAGCTTTTGTGATGAGCATTATGCGATTCAATTCCCCTAGTTTGTCAGCCCACATTCTCTGTCCTCCAATAACAACAGCGGCAGGTTATGAGTATCTGGAGGGGGCACAGAGAGCAATTTTATTCCATGTCCGGCCCCATCTCCAGGCTCAGAGCCTGCGCTAAATCAATTACAGGAAACAAACGCAAGCAATCTCTGACCCCAGTGTGCCCGGGCTCTTTGGTCTGTCAGAGAAACATTCTGTGGGCACGAATGCTGGTATTCAGGGACGGCTCTACCGTGCAACGGCATTTCATCATTTCAGTTAAGGAGGAAACATAAAGCTATTTCTAATATGATACACAAACCTGGTATCTGCTTTTTGGGTTTACGTTTGATTTTGGGTTTGAAGATTCGCCACAAAAGCCTCAGAAGTACATTCTTTATAAAAAAGGGCCAAAAAGAGGTTCTTGCAATGTGAAACACTTTTGAATAAATAAAGGAACCTTTCAATAGACCATTTTTGTAAATGAGATGCATGAGTGAAGAACTTTTTAAAGCTTATAGAACATCCACATAAATGTTCTAGATCAGTTTCATTTTTTAAGGGTGTGGTGCTTGAAGCAGATTTTCTTAGAACTTTTATTTTTTTTACCACACACTTAAAAACATGACTCTTCAAGGGTTCTTGAGTTCTGTGTAGAGCCATTTCATGCTTAAATGGTTCTTTGCATGGTTCTTTGCATATGGTTTTGTATTGAACCTTTTTAAAAAAGGGTTAAAGAAGAACCTAAAAGTGTTCTTCTATTGTTACAATGTCAAGCTTGAGGTTCTATATAGAACTGTATACAACACATTCTCCATCAATCTAAAGAACCATTTTACCATGCAAAGAACTATTTAGGCATGAAATAGTTCTATATAAAACTCATGGTTCTAAATATTTATGCCTTTGCAAAAGAACCCTTGAAGACCCATCTTTTTTAAGGGTATAGAACCAAACATTTTAAGCAGGTGGGGCTAGAAGCAAATTTTCTTAGGACCAACTTTTATTTTTCCTACACATTTACAAACATGATTCTTCAAGGGTTTTTTATAAAGGCATAAATATTTGGAGCCATGAATTCTATATAGAACCATTTCATGCTTAGAAAGGTTCAAAACCATGGTGATTTTTCAGATTGCTGGAGAATATGTTGTATATGGATATTTAACCTAAAAGAAGAACCCAAAAGTGCTCTTCTATTGTTACAATGTCAATCTTGTAACCATAGAAGAACACTTTTTGGTGCTACATAGAACCATTTTCAAAGAAGTTCTATATATAACCATATGTAACACATTCTCCATCAATTTGAAGAACCATTTCACCGTGAGAAGAGCCATGAAATCATGGCTCTAAATATGTATGCCTGTACTAAAGAACCCTTGAAGTATCATCTTTGTTAAATGCATAGAACCAACCTTTTTTTAAGGATGTGGTGCTTAAAGCAAATTGAACCACCTTTTATTTTTAAGGCTGCATCTGAAGTTCCACACTTAAAACTGATTATCAAGTGTCTTCATTTATAATTACATCCCATTACATTCACAGGAGTGCTTTCTCAGTTAGAACCAAAAACTCTCAGGGCAGATTAAGCTGCAAAGTTGGTCAATTTATGGTTCGAGAGAGGAGAGAACTCTTATTAGAGCTCGGTGAATGATTTGGGCAGTCTGCTTGGGGGCTTTCGTGACATGATTGAGTCCAAATTGGGCTGGAATGCATAATTTACTGTAAGTGACTATTACTGAGGCAAAGCAGGCATTAAATGTGCCAGATGTATCCATTTCTCCTCAAGATGATTGAAAACCCCACACCAACAGCCCAGCCCATTACTGCGAGCAATTTGGCCGACTGAGGTCTTGATGGCAAAGCAGCATGAAGGAGATTGAATTTCTTATCCTTCCATCTCTGACTTTTATCATAACACCAGCCTTTTAATTGAACACGTTTCTATCATCAAGACTTCTTGTGGGGAAATAACGAAGGTACATGTTCAGTTCTGGTGCCGCATATAGTGACACATACCATGGAGGAAAGACAAATGTGAGTCTGAGCTGAGTGCATACTGTTCCAACATACAGTGCAAATATAGGACAAGTAAAATACTGGAATTCCCCACTGGGCTGGAGCGTATTTATATTCAATGAGTCCATGGAGCTGGGTGTGTTGTGCTCTGACTCATAAATATCATCAAAGCTGTTCATCCCAGTTGGAACAGAGCTCAACCAGAGGGCAGATACGTACCTGAAGATGATCAATAATGTTGATGCTACAGATTTGATGACATATTCTGTAGGTTAAGATGTTCACCAGCCAACTTATAGCAGCAGATATATAGATTCATTAGCCTATTAAGGTCAGCAAATGTTAAACAGCATATATGGTAGAGTGGAACAACACTGGCTTGCAGTTGCGCTCCGTATTCAGGTCATGCTTCTACGAAGTCGGTTAACGAGTTCGAATAATCGATTATTTCGCAAACGCAACTTTTTTGCGTTTCAATTAGTCTTATTACACAATGTTGAATGAGCGTCTATAATGTTGAATTAGCGTCTGTTGTGTCCATTTAACCGTCAGGTTCGGACATTCGAACCACCTGCTTCGAGTTTCTACCTGCACAGCTGTTATATTCATTTTAAAACGTTGCATACGCTCTGTTTTTATAATATATACAAGTGTATACTGTTGGGTGGGATTTTAAAATTTTTGACGCGAACATAACGGTTAAGTGCAACTGGACACACACGAGGTGTTGCTTCAACACTTTTACAGAAATCAGCACCAACTGAAATCAAACTGACGCCTTACAGACTGACTTCTCTTCCGTTTCTGACAACTATAGATGATTCTACGCTAACGCTGAACGCTTTGCTGGTGAAGGAGTGCGGGAGAAGTGAGGGTTCGGGTTCCAGCAGCGCACCGTACCTGCAGGAGACGGAGATTTCCACTTTGGTGGCGGGAATGTTCCCGGTGATGGGGTCGAACTCACACACCGAGGCCATGTCCTCCAGCTTGTCCGTAACATCTCCCTCCATGGGGCAGGCAGCGCGGGTGGGTTTTTTGCTGGGGGGTTTTAAAGCCTGGAGGCGCAGGTAAGCAAGCGGAGCGTGCGAGGAGAAAGTAGAGGAGTCTGCGCCGGAGGAGGCTGGAGAACGGAGGAGAACCAGGTGAACCGGGATGCGCTCCACAACTACAACACCGCTGAGTGAGAGTGGAGCTGCTGCGGAACGCCTGATGTTACAGAGGAATGCGAAAGTCCGCGAAGAGAAGCTCTCTCTCTCTCTCTCTCTCTCTCTCTCTTTCTCTCTTTCTCTCTCTCTCTCTCTCTCTCTCTCACCCCCGCTGGACCGCTGCTAAAGTAAAGAGCTCAACTCCACCCCTTTCGCATTCTTCCACACGCCCGCTGCGCTGCGACTGCCGCTCAATGCAGCGCCACAGCATCGATCCGCCGCTCTGGCTCGAGCCACACTGCGCACCGCTATTAACAGCACAAACACCGCGCACTACAAGGCTCACGCGCTCGATTCCACAGCCGAACTTTTGCCTAAAGAGACTGAAAATAAGGCAGAAGTAAAGCTTTAGTCCTTCTGTGGAAACACGGTTACAGGGTTCCGCCTAAACCCCCCGCGCTGACATCACTGCAGGTGAAGTGTTGGTCACTGTGAGTCTTTCTGAGCGCTCAGTGTGGAAAACTCTGTACACTGTACACGCGACTCCACAGCGCTGTCAGTCAGAAGCAGATCTGAATTGCTGCACGCTTTGATGAAGAAGTCCGCTATGTGGACGGACAATTTGCAGCTTCGCCGAGTTTCAGCACCACCGCTGTGGACAGCTCCCCCGCTCCGTCACTCTGAAACTGGACCATCCTGAGAACAATCTGCATCCACCAGAAACAAGAGGATCATCTTCTGATCTATATAATCTATAATCAGCCTCAGCTTTTACACACCAGAGCCATCAACATAACAGGAGCATTAAAGAATACAAGAGGAAGATAGAAGACAATTACAGGCAGAGAAGGAAATAAAATAATGAAAGAACAAAAGAAGAGAGCGAGAGATGGAGAGAGAGAGTAAGAAAGAGAGATAGAGTGAGAAAGAGAGAGAGAGTGAAAGAGAGAGATCAGTGGCAAAGAAAGAATGAAAGAAAAAGAAAGAAAAGGAGAGAGAGATAAAAAAGAAAGCTAAGGAGAGAGAGATGAACAAGAAAGAAAGAAAGAAAGAAAGAAAGAAAGAAAGAAAGAAAGAAAAAGATATGTAGGAGACAGAAAGAAAGCAATAAATAAAGAAGGGGAAAGAAAGAAAGAGGGAGTAGGAAGAAGGAGAGAGGGAAACTGAAAGAAAGAAAGAAAGCAAGAAAGAAAAAAAAGATAGACATGAGAAAGTGAGAAAGAAAGAGGGAGAGAGAGAAAGAGAGAGAGAAAGAGTAGAGAGAGGAAAAAAACAAGAAAGAAAGAAAGAAAAGGTGAGAGAAAGATGAAAAAGAAAGAATGAAAGTGAAAAAGAAAGAAAGAAAGAAAGAAAGAAAGAAGGAAAGGAAGGGGGGTGGTTGGTCCCTGTAGCACACAGTGAGGTCCATTGATTCTTAGCTAATCATCTGTCATATGTAATTGTATCTGCGTTGTCGCTCTGCTTCATCATCCCTCAAGAGTCTTTCATGAAACAAATCTATGATCTCTTCTCTCACTCTCTGCACCTGCAGCTCGAGCTGCTAATAAAGCTCAACAGGAGGGAGTAGAGTCCAGTCTGAACTGGAACACAGCCCTACTGCCCCCCCAGCCTTACTGCAGCGAGACCCCTGAGAGGAACTTCAGCTTCCCTCCAGCTTTACCACCCATGACTAAGGTACAATACAGATAAAAATAATGCTCTTCCTCTTCTTCTTTTCCTCTCTCTCTCTCTCTCTCTCTCTCTCTCTCTCCTCTCTGTGTTGTACTATTGTGGAGCACTGAGAGGGACTGAAATGTCACATTGTTCATTTTTCTTTTGGTTTGAATTCAGTTCCACAGAGGATTTCAGCTGTTAGTCTGGCCAACTTTTCTCTTTAAACTGCCATTCTGATGGAACTGTATTCATGTATTCATGCAAATCAGTAGCAAACAATAAATGGGAGCCCAAAGGGCCTTCTTGTCAAAATATTTCAAGTTCACAAATGAAAAATGAGCTTACAAAAAATATGTAAAAAGCTCTATTGATGAATGTTTAATTTGTATTTGACTAAATTAATAAAATTTTAATTTATTTGTTTTAAACATTTAAAATTTTGTGCTAATAATATCATGACTACAATGTCAGACAAACATGAGAAAGGTTTGGAAGCAAATTCAAATTTAGCCCACATTACTCCTTTGCCCACACTGAAGTAAGAATAAACAAATAAATTCAGATGATCAAAAAGTAGGTAACTATTACTTGTAACTATTACTTGCAGCTAATTTGCTGCTCAAATGGACTCCTAACATTTCTGTTTTATTATGCAGCAGCTCACAAAACTGTGTTTTATATTCAAAGATCGAGAGCACAAACCCAGCCTACTGTGCTGAGTGGCTAGTATTTCATCTGCCAAGCGGCTGACTGTTTTTGCCAGTTTTTAACAAGCCTTCGTTGACTTGGAATCACCATTTCCTCTCAGGGGAATCCTGACGCCATTTTAAGGGCCGTTCCTTGAGACTCAAAAGGGGGAACTCATGCTCTGGTCAACATCAGATAGCAAAACAGTAATACAACAAGAGCAAGATGAATAAACAATAAGATTTTACCATTAATATACAATATTGAATGTGGAAAAAGAGAAAAGAAACCAGCCAGTCCTTGGACAGAAGTGTTTAGATTATCCAGTGATGACCAAAGAGTGCTGTTAGAGGCCTGTGAGAGAGAAAACAGACCTGAGAGAAACAGGTCTATGAAAACTAGTCACAACTGTTAGAATCCTGTCGTGTTAGTATGAATATGTGAAGAACTCAGGTGAGAACGAGGCAGGTGAACAATTTTTAGGACTGAATAGTTCTAGTTCGAGTCCAAGTAGAGACCAATATCAATAGGCTTCAATTTCCTTACTTTACTCTGCTAGCTTGTGTGGTATCTAGAGTTCTATGTGTTATCTGTTTTTGCAGGTTTGGAGTGTTTAAGTTAGGGGGCCCCTGGTCCAAAGGCCCCATAGGGAGTGGGCCCTTTTCCCTTCCTCTCCCTTCCTCTCTTAGTTTCAGATGGATGAGATCATTTTAAAAAGGACCATATGTTCTGTTCCCTTTTTCGAAAACAACCACCCTATATAAGCTGCTGGCTATATTATTCTGGAGGGGACACTTTAGAATTGGCACGGATCCCCTCTCAGGTACTTTATGGTGCTTGATATGATATTGTTTTACTTTGTAATAAACATCTGATACAAGCAAGATGGTGTCAGCGGAGACTTCTTCATCATCTTCACATCATCGCTATTTAATAAACAACACTTGCTAGTTAGCAAGCTAAAGGCTACATACCTAGCAACAACAGATTTTAAAACAAAACTTATAACCAGGCAAGAAATTATTCACAAACTTCATGTGCCATATGTTCAGGCTCAAAAAGTGTTTTGCATTGCAAACTTCACATAGCTAGCGAATTAGCTTACTGTGGCTAGCTAAGTGTGAGTGCGTTCCTTTGAATGATTCACTCCTCACTGTTCACTGTCCTCCTTCCTTTGTGCTGCAGTGACTTGTGAAACATAAGTGTGACCTCCTATGGTGAGTCTTACAAACAGTATTGAAATGGGGTTTTTGTGAGCATTGACTCTTCATCAAGGAGGCGGGGCTTATCAGAATACGTGTGGACAAAAGGAATGACATTGGTTCGCTGTCGCTGCAATCCAAGTGGAGCTCAATCACAGTACAGCAGCCCATTAAAGAGGAGGAGAAACTGTCCTTCTTCTCTCGAGAAGAATTGCTTGTGTTGCACACCACACAGTGGGCAAGCAGATAGAAAATCTGAGGGTGCCTGGAAAACACATGCCACAATCCCTTAGCGAGAAAATGGGCTATCTGTTAGCTTGATTGAAAGGCGGGAAATTCATGTATCTCTCCAAGGCGGCTCCTACACCTAATGCAGTTCGAGGCACTGAAGAAGGAAGGTTAGGCTATGGGAGAAGAATAGAATGAGTTGCGGCCTTGCAGTTGATCCTGAGAGAGATGAGTTGAACCGCGTGCTGTGACCATCTGACCTTTCTTCGTCAGCCCTGAGCTTCTTTAATGTAGCTGACCGACGTGTCACAGCTTTGGAAAGCAGCCTGGCAGAAACACAATGGTATCAGCATTTCACAATGAGTCATATTGGTTTTCTGTTTATTTTCACCAAAGGGTTAAAAATTGTACTGTCAGCCCTGATTGGAGGCCATTCACCTTCTTGAGAGATGCAGCAGTTCAGGTTTAATGTTCCTCAGGAATCCAGCGCAGCGAAGCTCAATATCCGAAATAGGGAGGCAGCTACATTTCTCATTTTTGGCACTAGATATTGTGATGAATGCTGGAGAGCGGGATTGGGGGGGGCTTCATTTATGAGACTGAGAAGCATGATGGGTGTGGAATTAATGCTTTGACAGCAGTGTCTCCTTTAGCACCGGCTTGATTTCAATTCTATTTTATTGTCATCGTGTGGCATAAGCAATAAGCAAACATCGTTTTGAAACTCCCTCAAGGTGATGACAGAAACTAATGAGCGTAACATAGCATGAAGGGGATTAACGAGACTGCTTAGTTCATTGGCGCCCTTTGTAATTAGCTGGGGTAATACTAAACTGTGGAGTGGCCCTACGAACTAGAGTTGGGAGTGCCTCCCACTAGGCTGTAGTAATTACACCCCCCTCTCTCTTTCTCTGAAGCATTCAAATGTTGCACTAACAAACAAAACCAACTGCCCAGGCATTTAGAGATGTGGCTGGGGTGCATGACACAAAATCAATGGCTCTGGTTGCTAGACCCTGTTAGAAGATCTGTGATAATGTCTGTGACATTAGGGGCTTGTCAGGAAGCAGCGGTTGAAGGGAGGTGGGAGTAACA